AACAGAGTGGCTAGCATTCAAAAGCCCTGTTTGAATGACATTTCAGCTCCAATTTACTCATTAAAATGATTGTTGACAAACTCAGCCTTGGCATAAATGTATTTTTCAAAGAAAATACGCAACCAACTATATCCTGAATATTCCTGTGGGACACAATGAAAGTAATGATTGGAGAACTTAGTACACAGGAAAGTTTGTTTTCTTAAGCAGCAGAAAGACAAAGCCAAAATATGCCCTTGAAAGCAATATACAACTTAGGGAAAACCCAGAAAAGGCAGTGGCAAAACACATAGGAAACTATTAGTGGGGGAGGCAGAATTAAATGCTTTAGGCTGTATGGATTCTTTCAGTCTTAAGAGTTAGGAAATGAAAATTCCAAAGCATTGGCAAGGGAAAGAAAAGGAAAAGACATCCCAAAATTCAGAGGAACAAAAGACATTAATACAACTAATTGAATGAATTCTTAAGTAAATTAACAATTAAGCTGGTTAAATATTAATATAGGCAGATGCTAAACTAGAACTAATTTCAGAACCAGAAATTAAATCAACTGTTGGTAGATTAAAATACAGGAATGCCCCCAGGCAGGTTAGCTTTATGAGGAAATACAAGCCCCTTTGGAGTTACCTTAAACCCTTACCTGAGCAAGGCTTTCAATGACTGGTAGGAAGGTGGGATGGTTCCAGAAACATGAAAGCAGGCTGAGCATTATGTTTAAGCCAGGTAAAGGCCCATCCTTCCTGGAAAACCTTCCCAGCGCTTTACCAAACTAGAAAGCCAAAGTGCTGATTACAATTCTGGCATCCATTTATCCCAGAATATATTTCAGATAACGAGTGGGAAGTTATGCCTAACAGGCAGCTGGAAAGTTCAGATTGGTGTTTTCTCATGTTTCACAACAACAGCAGGAGAGCAGCAGTCTCTCTCTGCTTTTACTAGATGCATTCAAAATTTTGGAAAGATTGAAGTGGCAATGTCTATTCGCACTGTGGTGTAAATTGAACTTGGGTGACAAATTCACGTGCAATGTTACATCAGTCGTACTCAATATCAACAGCAAAGACCCTCACAAATAGATTGGATCTGCTCCAGTACCTCCCAACAGAGGGATAACACAGGGCTCTTCATCACTTCCTCAGCTGTTTGCTATTAGCACTGAGACCTTGGCAGGTCAACTGCAGAAGAATACAAAAGTCAGACGCATTGGGATACATAAGGTCTGACATAATATTAACCTATCTGTGGATGGCAACCTGTTGCTCTTGTCTAACAAGAGAAAGTCCAGTCCAGAGCAAAGGAACAGGTGGTAGCAAAATACCATAAAATCACCAAAGGTCCATGGTTCAAAGAAAATTCACTCATGTTTGGCGAATTGTGGCAGCTGAAAGATAAGATGCAAAAGCCAGTTATTTGGAGGAATAATTCAAAACATGTTCATAGTAATATGGTTCACATTCATTGGGTTTGTAAATAAAGCATCTTCTAATCTTAACCTTTACCTTCAAATTCTGGTTATGGGGCGGCATACAAATCCAATAAATAAATAAACAATTCTGGTTGGATGCTTTCTTTTGGCTAACTTTGCTAATAAGTTTATTGATGTCCTTTATTCTCCTTGTAACATTCCATACAGAACTTAAACTCTGTATCTCCAGCCTATCATTGTTTCTGGGTTACTTCTTATTTTGTGACAACTATACACTCTTTGAAACTTCAAAACATATATTTTTAAGGCAAGTGGAGGGCAAGAACAGAAATGCAATGACTCATAATGTGTTGTGTTGACTTTATACTTAGTCCTAAAGCAATTTTTTGTGGTGGCATAGAAGATCAAGTGAGTCAGAGTGTTAGTTTTTACAAGTGCTCTAATCTTTCTAAGAGTGCAGCTAGTTTCACACTGCTAGCAATAGTAACTTGATTGTTAAATATACTTCTGAAACTTCTCAGATATGACAGGTGGCTAAGCAATAAAGCACAATTACTAAACAGTTTTGCTTTAAAGATAAAAAGACTTCTAGAAAAATACATGTTGGCAAGGCTTTTCTTTCAATTTTTATTTCTCTAGTGGACTGAGGGGAGGAAGGGATTCTGGTAGACTTACAATAAAAGAGAATTCCCTTGTCAGGCCAGTCACTAAAATCTTGTTAGTTTTACTGGCTTGTTTTGTGGATGTCATTCCTCTGCTTGTCCACTTCTTCCCACTAATTCACATGGGCACATTACTCCATGCTTTCATAGTTACTGTTCATTCCAGAAGTTCTCATGCATGAGGATTTTCCACTGGATTGTCCTGGTGAATCAGATTCCCACTTCTCTCATGGTACAGCTGCTTCTGCGGTTGGTACTCGATTGTACTATGTAATTACTCGATTGTAATATGGAAACCATTGGTCTCCATATTACTCAGTAGGCTTGAGTTTGGCAGGTGGGGTGGAATTTGCATGCACAGTGGGTTTCTAGTTTTTGTTTTAGATTTGGTCAACTAATGGTCTTGCTAATCCCCCCATTTCCTTTCTGGCAGAACTCTTCTCTGTCACTTGGTTCCCATAACATGGCAACCTGCTGTGGTAACTTAGTATGGTAACTAAGTTGTCCAAATCCAGACCACTTCCCACAGGGGGACTTATTTTGGAGTACCAATCCACCCTGACAACTCACAGCTTGTTCTAGATGCTGTTCATGGCACCCTGGACAGTTGTGCCGCCTGAACCCAAGGCACCAGTTCCATCATGAGCTGTGGAGAGTAACAAAGCGCCCTTGTTGCTTTCGATGACAACCCTTCCACTGATGTCCAAGTGCCACTTTAGAGCACTGCAACGTATTACTGCTCCTGTGTTTCTAGATTCAGAAATAACACAGATGACTGCAACTTTCAAAGATTTTTGGTTGGTCTGTTGGTGATTTGCTAGCATGTGCTTATAGTTGTCTGAGAGAGAGTGCATCATGCCTGGTTGATGTTCTTGTAAGTTTCATCTATCAAAAGGAACAAAGTGTAGTCAATTTCCAATAGATAGAACTGGTGCCTGAACTCAAGGATGGAAGATGGAAATTGACAAGGTGAGACTGGCTCTCAAATTGGACTATATGCAATGAGGTGCAGTGATGGAGAGTGCTGGACTGAGATGCATGGGATCTGGGCTCTTAGACCCATCTTGGCCATAAAGCCCACAAGGTGACTTTGGATCAGACACTGCCTCTAGCCCAACCTTGAGGTTTTGTGTGGATAAAATGGAGAGGAGGAGAACCTTGTAAGCTGCTCTGAGCAATGTTCAACCTTGTACAAGGTTGACTTGCAGTGCAATGCAATGCAATGCAATGCAATGCAATGCAATGCAATGCAATGCAATGCAATGCAGTAATAATAATGCACACAATTGTTGATTTGTAAAGAGGGGGAGTAGATGCACTGAAAGGGGGTGGCAATGAGTCTTCCCCCTCAGTAGTGTAACCCTCATGAGTTCAGGCATCAAACTGAAAGTTCGTGTTTCCCGCCACATTTTTGATACTTCGCCTGCTCCCCTGCGACTGTGAAAAGGGAGATATTCCACCTATTCCCCCTCCATTTACTTTCCAGCCATGAAATTCACATATATTTCTCAGTGTGGAAAATGTGCTCTCATTTTATTTTATTTTATTTGGTCAGGAAATATAAGCAGATTTAGTGGCTGGGCAGTGAACAGAGGGGAAATTCCTATTATATTTCCCCTCCACTTACTCCTCAGCCCTAAAATCTGCATATATTTCCCTTGAGTTTACTTCCCAGCCATGAAATGTACATGTATTTCCTAGTTAAAATAAAAACCTGCCACCTTCATGGGGTGGTTCTTCTCGTTTCAAGAACTGGTAGGGAAGTGCAGTAACCGCAGCAGTAAATGCTCCGGAGAGGGTGGCGTATGGGGAAATGGGACGGGTTCTGTCACTGGGATTCTGGCAAGAAGACTAAAGTGGAAGGGGAAGAAGAACAAGCCACAGTGAGCCCAATCCTCTGTGGAATGTCCTGTAAAAGACCAACCCACCACAGCTTATTTGCAGGGTAGCTTAGTGTGACATGCAAACCAGCTCAAATCGTTCTGCTTTGCAGGATGCCTCTTGGTCATGTTATTTCCCCATTGCAACAGGTGTGTGACAATAAATTTGTATTTAGACATAGGATAAATGCATGAACAACCACAGTACAAGAACAGAACTGCCTGGACCTGGGGGTCAGACTAGATGGCTCAGGAAACCCCTTCTGACTCCCCTTTTCCTATGTTTCTAAAGCCAAATAAGAGCAACACTTTTTATTCACTGCAATAGAAAACTCTTTGAGGACTTAGCATTACTATTTCAGGAATTTCAAATGGGATGCAGATGGTGGCATCCCATGGCACTTCTTGATTTGGGTTCTTTCTAGTGGAAGACCCAGTGGAAGGCAACCAGGTGTAGACACACTGGCCACTGGACCCCGTGGGCCTTCTGTTCCATGCTATGCAATGCATGGCCTTGTGTCCCAATGTTCATGGTACCCAGCTGAGCCTTTTCACCCTCTTTCTTTTTTGGTATCCATTCAAGAGTCCCATGGCATGCTGCACACATTGAACAGGTTGTGCTCTGTATTAGGCCTGGATCCACTGAAATGAATGGAATGTATATGAGACGAATGTTGAATGAAAGCCTCTACTGCCAGGCATCACGGCAAGTGTGTGGCTCTCTCTTTTTAACTGAGTCTCAAACGTGGTCAAACGGTTTGGTTTGGTTTGGTTTTTGGCACAAGCCAGACAGAGGGTAGCGGCTTTGGGAGAAACAGGGCTTGAGAACCTCATAGGAGTCCGGGGATCATGGAACCTCCCAGTCAGCTGTTAATGCTGCTCTGTGTTCACTGGACTGTGTTTCTTTCAGGAGAGGCAAATGGTTCATTCCAGGGACCAGGGAGAGTTACTCTTTCTGCCTGTCCTGCAATTTGTAACTTTCCTTAGTCAACAGATAAAGCAAATAAATGTTTCTTTGGTTTTGTTTTCCAGAGCTGTGGAAATGCCAATTCAGTGACTCTGCCAGAAACATTGTTATTTGTTTCCACTCTTGATGGGAGTTTGCATGCTGTTAGCAAGAGGACAGGGTCAATTAAGTGGACTTTAAAAGAAGGTGAGTATGAGAGGTGTTATCTTGTTTTCTTTTCATTAATTCTGATAGCTGCACAGTCAACATAATCTTGGGAACACAGCCTTGGTAACTCTGGCCATGCTGAACAGTTTGACTACATGTGCCGTGTTAGGAACTGGGCCACCCAGGCATGGGCCCTCAATCTTTTGAGCAGTAGCCTAGATCTTGAGGGCTGCCCCACTTGCCATCTTCTGCCCCCCCCCCCCCCCACTCAGTAGCCAGCTTGTCACTAGGAGACCTCAGGACTCACCTGCTTAGGAAACTAATAGGGAGTGTAACATGAAGGCACCAGCCTTTTTAAATGAGAACAGGGATTGCCCCCTTTCTGTCCATGTGCTGCTCATTCTTTTCATTAAGTCCACAGCCTGGCAGCCCCACCTGGCAGATTTCTCAGAGCATGCCTAACTCTGCCAATACGTGCCAAGTCAGTTGCTGCTGGCAGTGGCCCTTTGCCCTGGCACTGTAGGCAGCAAGGCCCTGAAACGAGGAAGGGCAGGTTCATTGGCTGCTCACATACCGAATGGAGCCCCAGAGGCCTTCCTCATCGGCTGCTCCTTCCAAGTTGACACAGGCCCCTTGCCGTAGGGGGAAATAGAAGTGGGCTTGCTTTCAAAAAGGGTTTGAATGAACAGCAGTGTTTGAATTTGGGGGAAATACTGTAGAGGCATGCAGGTTTTCCTTCGCTGGCTAGCTGGAGTGTGTCTGGACCCCAAATCTACAGTCATCTTTCTGGGTTATGCTGTTTGCATAATCCATGTGGCCAGTTTCTTGTGGGTATGTGATACTCTTTGGCATCATGGTTTGCTCTGGCTAGAGAAAGGTACATAAATATGGGAGCTTCTTGCTAGTTTGCGTTCTTGCTACTATTTCTCAACTAGTGCTGTGGGAAACTTCCATCTGCCTGCACTGCTTATCTAAGAACTTATTTTAAAAGAATCTGTAAGGGATAAGAAAGTTTTCATTTAAGTTAACCTGAACCACTTACATCAACTATTTCTGATATTTCATAGGGCTCTACCTATGATGGGACACATGCATTTCTCTGTGACCATTTTGATGAAGCCGTTGTGCAGTTGTAAAGAACGTGGCTTGATTATGCAAGAACTGCAAACCCTCCACACATGCTGGCTGCTCTTTTAAAACAGCCTGAACCAACCTGTTGTCCTTCAGATGGTGTGAACTACAAGCTCATTCTCAGGACTGCAGACCTCTGGCCATGCTGGCTGAGGCTGATAGGACTTGAAGTGTGGAACATCTGGAGAGTACCCCAGTTCTATGGCAAAATGTATTTCACCTGAAGCATTAGGGTTAGAGTTTGGCTCTCGATACTAGACACACAAAAAGCATACATGCAATGCTGTTCCACTTTGTTATGTTTCTTTATATAGATGAGATAAAAATGTTTTAAATGAATCATGGGCAATATCTGACGGGGTGCTGCACCCTTGCCAGTTACGTTACATTCCCGCCAAGTCAGTCCCTCAGGAGGCCTCTCCCACCAATATCATTGTGCAAGCTGAATCCAACCAAATCCAATTTCACTCATTTTTCCAAAGTTAAGCCCATTGTATCCCATTTCCTCATTTGGTCCCATCGTTCAACTGTTATGCATTTATTGCAGGCAGTTTCCCCTAAAACAAGCTCTTGTGCACCTTTCTGTAAATAGATGCATTTCTGTACAACTTTAATATGTGAATTTTGATTGCAAACTTCAGGAAAAGAGCAGTTACTGACATCCAACAGTGTTTTGGTTCATGCAAGGAACTTGGGTAGTATGAATGTGCTAAGTTTGCATAAAATTTATCCTCCATTCCTTGGACAGGGATAATGATGACATTTTTCCTCTGCTGTTGTCAGCTTTCTAAGCACCCTGATCTGGGTGCATATGAGCTGCCCCCATGGCTTCAGTATCACCTAGGAGAGTCCCTTACAAATGGAGAGGTCTGCTTCTGTCAACCCCCAGCAAGTGCCCGGAAGGACTCATCCTCAGGACTCATCCTCAAGCTGCATGGAAGGGGCATCCTCATGGTGATACCTGATATGGCAGTGCTGTATGTGTGAATTCACAACTGCATGCCCAGTGCTGATTATGTGGATCTTTCACTGCTGACTGGGACTCCCCTGGGCTGGAGGTGCTGCATGTCATGTCTTTGTTCACAGGGTTATGATATTGTCATGTATAGACCGAATTCTCTTAGGAGAACTCAGCTCCCAAAAGACTTGATGAATGTGTGAAAGAGGATCTAAACCCAAAGCATCAAAAAGTCTTAGGGTCTTTATCCTGCTATCACCCTGCCTCAAACACTTAACATTACAAGGGATCCAGACAAGATTGTACTCTATCCTTAATCCTTAAATATTTTCCCACCATTTTGTCTATCCTTTTATTTTCTACACAATTCTGTTAAGGAAGAAAAGCACACAGTGCCTTTTGATTGGTTGCACTAGGAGCCATTTGGCTTAGGCAGTCTTAATCTACTAGCAAAGCCTATTTATTACCTGTTGCTGTCAATCCTTTATATTGATAATTCAAGGCAACGATGTGTTGGTGTGAATATTCCAGACTTTTACCAGTCATACAACCCTTGTGGAATCTCTCCTTTTTAGAAGGCCAAATTAATAGTGACATATACTACTAGCCTTACAGAAAGATTTTCCCTGGAAATAGCTTAATTAGATTTAAAATATCACATTACTGTTTTGACTTTTTCATTTAACTACCATAAAAATAGGTATCTAGAACTAGCTTCCTCAGTGTGGGACCTTCAGTTTCCTCCAATTGCCTGCATTTTTTAATTTTTTAAAAATCCCCATTCTGGCAAAAATATATCCATGGATTTGTATAAAATGCATACCGCTCTCAAGCAATTATGCATTAACTTCAACAAAAGTGGTTCAACTATCCGAATAATTATCCATTTGAAGGTGGCATCTCTGTGCCACCCATTCAAATACTGAAAGCTTTGTAAGGTTCTCAGTCCATTGCATTATTTGAGGTAAGTGTTTATCCCTCTCATCTATCAAAAGAGTGCAGAGAAATCTCTGTAATAACCTCCCCTGCAAAAGCAGCAACTACTGGATGTTAACAAAACATATGTTTAAAAGAAGCATTCATTGTACTGCATTACCAAAAATTAACTGAATTAGATCGTCCCTTATTAAAGAGATTTTGCAGTGTCTGGTAGACACAATTGTTTTTGCCAAATCAGACTCAGCCTAAGACCCATAGACATGACAGCTGGATGCCAAAGTGGTGATCCATGGATTCAGCATTTTGCGGTGGTGCCCACAGCAGTTTCTCAACTTCCCAAATGGGCCTACAGGACCCAAATGGTTGTGAACCCTTAGAGCTTGTGCCACCAGTTTTGACTCTGTAAGAAGGCTGTCGAACTTGTAACTAGCACTGATACGAAAAGCACTCCAATTACTGCCCTTAGAACAGTCAGACTGGACAAACCAGTTCTATAGAAAGCTTTATTGCATTTGTGGCGTTCATCTGGATCCTTATCTGTATGCACTCCACTCAATCAATGTATTGTGAGGTAGTTAATAACCATTGGGATGGTTCCATAAAAATAATAACCATTGGTCCCTTTGCTGAGAACATTGAGAGCCAGTACCATCAGGGCTGTTTTTAAAAGCGTTCTTGTGTTCTGGCTTAACCTTATTAAATCTCCTGGATCAGGACATGGTGGGAAGTGATCTTGGTAGTTGCCCTTTTCAATGAGGAGCCATAGTATTTTGGAGAAATTTTTAATAGTACCTATTCTGGTCTAAGCCTAATCAAAGGGTGTCATACATGTATTTGGTCAGAGGTGCACAAACAGTTTCTATTTCCTAGCTTTTTAAATTCCAAGAGCTGATGAAAAGATTTTTTTCGAGAAAAGCATTAATTTAATTACTTTCAGTATTATTAAGAACTGTTGCAAGAGTCCCTTAGTTTAGGCAGTAGGAGAAAAATAAAAACATGACAGATCCAGTTCTGTATCTCAGTAAATAGAGGCATGGTTTATATCTCCAAAAATGTTTCTTAGGCTGGAGCAAATAGGATATCACCAACAATAATTAGACAATACAGTCAGTGTGGAAAAGAATCCACACTTCCATATCATCTCTATCTTAGTGTTCCAAAATTCTTTCATGTTAGTTTTAGTGCTAAGGCTATCAAAACATGTTATTTTAATCATCTGGATACGGTGCATTGTTATTAACACCATATGCTAATACTGTATTGTTATAATTACCTTGCATTTATGTTCTGCCATTTTTCCTCCTGTGAGGAACCCAAGGCAGCTTCCATAGCTTCATTTTATCCTCACAAAGCAACCCTGTGAGAGGTAGGTTGGGCTGAGAGTCTGTGACTAGCCCAAAGTCACCCTGAGAGCTTTGTGGCTGAGCAAAGACTAGAGCCTGGGACTCCCAGCACCTCAGTTCAGTATTCTAACGTCCAGATGCTTTGTTTCCCAAAACTGGGAATTATATTTAAACAATATTTTCCACATGATTCCACAAATTGTGATAGATTGATCGATCTTAGGTAAGTCACAGCTGATTCTGCAGATGCCTTCTGCACGCACAGCTCTGTTTTAAGAATCAGACACATTAAACTTCCCTGGAATATTGCCAAACCAGAGTCTTCAGATGGCAGCTTGGGGAAGGGGTGGGCATCTTGTAGATCCCCAGATGACTTGCCCTTGTTGTTGTTGTTAGTCGTGTCCGACCCATCGCGACCGCACGGACAACATTCCTCCAGGCCTTCCTGTCCTCCACCATCTCCCGGAGTCCACCCAAGCTCACACCAACTGCCTCAGTGACTCCATCCAGCCATCATCCTCTGCCGTCCCCTTCTTTTTTTACCATCAATTGTTCCCAGCATTAGGCTCTTCTCCAGGAGTCCTTCCTTCTCATTACGTGGCCAAAGTATTTGAGTTTCATCTTCAGTATCTGGCCTTCTAAAGCACAGTCAGGGTTGATCTCCTCTA